TGAACTTGTGACTTTGAAATTATGTAATCACTTAATCACAATAAAAAAAAAAGAACCTCGGGGGAAGGGAGGGAGGGAGGGGATGGTAGGGGGAAAACAATGGAGGGGCTAACAATGTTCAAGAGGAAGTGTACTCATTACCTCACTCATGTAACTGTAACCCTCTGTATAGTATCTTTACAATAAAAAAAAAAGGGGATACAGGTGGACCCATTACAACAATAAGATGTACAAGTTGTTATGTTGAAAAAGAACTTTACAACTTTGTTGGGGGGGTGGGGGGGGTGGGGAGATGATTGGGGGGGGAGGTGTATGGGAAGGGATGGGAAGGGGAAACAAAGAGGAGGCAACAATGCTTGATAAGAAATGTACTCATTTTCTTGCCCATGTAATTGTAACCCCTTTGTACAGTGTTTTCACAATAAAAAAAATAATAAATTAAAAAAAGTCGGCCTGTGTCTTGAAAGTTTGGCGTTTTTCTGTTCTCTATAGGCAGAAAGTTTTCTCCTCCTGGTGAGGGCTGTAGGAGGAATTGTACACACCCAACTTAGTGTACATTTGGGGAAATTGAGGCTGTAGCCTCATCGAAATGAGGCCTCAGGAAGACCAGGAGCCTTCAACATGAGAAGGCTTCCTCCATCTCCCACTACAAATAGCCCTCAACCCACATTACAGGTGCTAGGCTTCGACTCTGTCAATGGAAAAGGACATTGGGAGGTGGAAAGATGCCCATGGGTTAGTAAATTGATCTTGAGTGAATAACTAGGGTAGGAGAATGCCCGTTTTTCCATGGGTGGCTTCGTTTTTAAAATTTCTTTTTTTTTAAGCACTTGAGGAAAGACAGTGCATTTTGATCCACATTCTGCCCTGTACCTCCCCTACCCACCCCTTCCCTCCCTCTTCTTCATTTCATAGGTTACACACTGAGTTCACACACTTCTCCTCTTCATTCCTCTACCTCCACTTCACTTGACCCCATCACACCTATTTCAAGTCCCCACTTCCATTTGTTTACTTGGTTTAATTTTTATTCTTTCTAAGGAATTACACTCTTTGAGATGTCCCTTGAATCTACAGTACTTCCATAATACATGTGTGTGTTGACTTGCATGCCACCCAGCACATCAAATAATCCATGCACACTCTGTATTATATGGTGCATACTACACGAGAACACCAATTCATTCCCTGCATGGCTCGAAAAAAAATCCCTGTCTCAAAACAAACAAGAAGATCTGTGATTGCTCAGAGGACAATTTCAAATGCAAATGAGCATACTTCCAGAGATCTTCTCTTCAGTCCTTGCTAAACCCGAGAAAGTCTGACAAGGAAAAGCATTGACATACATAATAAAGTCAATAAATAATGTAATATTTGCTTATGTGATACAGTAGTAATGTAACATTTGTAATAAAAGGTGCTGAGATCTGGCTGTTTATTTGTATTTTGCTCACAAATACACTGAGTGGTGTCAAGTTGAGGTTGACAGGTAAGTGTTACGTGACATCCTTCAGAAATCAATAGGAAACAAGAACCAAGAGAGACAGAACTTGGTCATTTGTTCTGGTATCCACTTAACAAGGTATTCCTAAGATCAGATAACAATTAGACTCATCCTAAGAAGATTTTTCTGGAAGGACTCCATTGGAGAGAGTTGGGATGAAATTCACACAGAGGAAAACCAGGGAAAGAAGTATTAAACTGAAATCCCTTCCATGTGAGATTCTAATCCTGGATAGATATCAAAAGTTTGACTGTACACTAAAATTTTCCATGGTGTGGATTTTAAAGGTAGGAGAATTTACTGAAAATCTAGATGTAGACATGTAATACATTCTGAATGAGAACAGTTTCTTAGCGAAGAGTGTGTTTGTTCTGCCTGCGATAAGAAAGAGTAATTAAGTAATACCCCAACCACTTCCTTTAGAACAGCATTTGTAAAAGACTACATCCTAAATGAAGAGGGCACTGAGGATCTGAACTTATTCTACAGAGCATAATTTGGGTCTATATTGTGTAGCTTATTTTCCATAAGTCCTACTTGAGCTAATGTTTGTACTCTATTGGAACCCAGAGAATCATTTGAAGGCACATGTCTGATAAAGAACTAGAAATGGCAATAAAAGATATGGAGAAATGCTAAAAAGAAAAACAAAAAACAGACAAGAATCTAATGTATATATATGTGTATATATATATATATATATATACATATATATATATATATATATATATTACAGATAGAGAATACTAAGCAGCTGGGTGGCTAGAGGAGGGAGGGATGAGAATGTTGGAAGGATAACATTAATCAAAATGTATTCTATTCAAAAACTGCTTTTTAAAAAAAAATGCATCCTTCGTGAAACTACTTTGTGATCACAAATATGTAGAAATACATAAAAAATAAAGCAATATGAAATAAGGAACTCTTCTGTGAGTCTTGATGCCTTTACCACAATTCTAGGCTGAGAGAGTTGGTAGGATTTGTGTTCCATCCTTACAGGCTTTGAAACTAGGGTGCTCTCTACTTGCATTAATTGTGTTGGTGAATAAAAAATACCGAGCAATATGTTAGATGACCACATGCTGTTGGGGAAATGCAATAATTAATGTAGACACATATATATTTATATTTATTTATTTATATAGCTTTATATGTAAATATATAAAGGCTTTATATATATGTGTGTGTATATATATATATATATATATATATATATACATATATTACTTTTATTCCAACAAGAACAGGGAATTTTCATGGAAGAGTCAATCAGAAAATAGGATTAAGCCAGAAGGAAGAAGGAAGTAGTTCAAGGCTGATGCTGACCTTATCTTGACTTCCAAGGATGCTGCCCTTTACCAAGGGTAACAAACATGTCCCAAAGACACCAAGAGTCTTTAGTGTATCTGGCACACTTTAGGCATCCATCCAAAAAAATGGGAAAATGACTTATTCGGTGAGAATATTGTAGCTAGATTGGCACTGGGTGAAAGATGACTTATTTTTGTGTTCAGAACCAAAGCATCTGAAAAACAAGCATAGGACTAACCTCAGAACAAAGTCATCCTCTCATGAACATTTTGAAAAAATGTCCATGCTTCTGTTTCTGAGAAGCTTATGGACATCAGATACATTTTATCTCCTGGCTACCAGTCCTCCAATGGGAATGATAGATATTTACAAATATCTATAAATGATAAACAGAGGGGCTGGGAAACTGGTTCAGTGGTAGAGTGCTGGCCTAGCATGCATGAAGCCCTGGGTTTGATTGCTCAGTATACCACATACACAGAAAAAGCCAGAAGTGGTGCTGTGACTCAAGTAGTAAAGCCTTGAGCAAAAGAAGCTCAAGGACAGTGCCTAGGCCCTGAGTTCAAGCCCCAGGACTGGCAAAAAAAAATAAATTCATTTGGCAATGGGTGGTACAACTATTTTCTTTAGTTTAGATATCAGGGACTGTGAGAAGGTAAGAAATACTGAAATAAATGGACCTTAGGCCACGAGATGTGTTCCACCCATCTATTGCATGAAGAAATTTGATGCAAAAAAAACAAAAAACCAAAAAACTTCTGATCAGTCAAGATGGAGAAATCAGACCACTGAATTCATAGAGAAATCACTCCAGATCCGTTGTATAGCCATGACAGGCAACTTTCTGTCTTTTCTGAGAATGTTTTCTCCTGGTTTCCTTCCTCTCCACACAAACAGCCATAGTGGATGGATGAATAGCATGGGAAGAACAAATCAATAGGACCATATTCCTGAATCAGGTTAAGAATTGCCATTTGTGCCTTTTTCCTGTGCTTTTTTTTTCTTCAGCAAGAAATGTAATCTGAGAAGCATGGTAGACCTCCAATTTATGTTGGTGTTTATAGATGATTTGTTGATGATTGGATGTCATCCCATGATTGGATTGAAGGGGGAGGCTGCTATCTTGGATTGCAGAACAAGGTTCTATGGCTTCCACCAAGGTCATAGAGACAAGCTCCCCCACCCCGCCTTTGCAAGGTGGAGATGGAGACCTGTGGATGTGGACACCCAATCTCCTGACCTAACCAGGACAGAAGGAGGAGGAAGAGCCATGCCTGTCCTTAGAACCCCTGCCTCCCATTGTGCTCCTAAAACCACCATGAAGGTCACTGGGCTCCACTTTATTTTTCCTCCAAGCTAATCCAATTAGTCTGAGGATGCCAGACACTGCCCATCCACCCCCTCCCCCGACCCCCCCCCCCAGTGAGGGACAGTCAGAGGACAATTTCAGGGGGACAAAGGGTCATTATGGATCAGGTCTGTGGAGCAATGGTATAAAAGGAGGGAATCTGTTCATATCCTCTCCACCATACCTGTCCTGCTCTGAGCTTCTTCAGGACAAGGACAACCAGCAGTATCTACACGATGAAGGCTCTGCTCTTTACCCTGCTGTTCGGTGTGGCCTGTGCTGGCCAAAGACCTCAGGTCCAGCCATCAGAGGTACCTCTGAATGGGCATGTTCATCTTGCATGGCCCATGTGTGTGTGTGTGTGTGTGTGTGTGTGTGTGTGTGTGTGTGTGTGTGTGTGTGTGTGTGAATGAGCCAGTTGTGTGTGTATGTGCATTTGTGTGTGAGATAGTCTGTTTGATAGCACGTGGATTCAATGAGTCTTCATAATCAGGAAAATGCCTTTGCACCTTTCAACTCCCTGTCATGTGACAAAGGTGTCCTCTTCAATCCAAAAGCTAAGGCAACAGTATTGTAACTTACACTGGGTCACATGTCGTGCCTACATGGAATCCCTAACTCACTCTCCACATGCAATGGTTCCCAAGCATGTCTCTCTGGGTCCTGGTGTCACCGTGTGGGACTCCACACAAATTGCCAAGGCCTGGCCTCCTCTTCTTCTATTGCCCAGTCAGGAATGGCTTCTTTGATGCTGGGATAGAGGGAACAGTGGTGAGGATGAGAAGTGGGGAATCAGGAGAGTGCTGGCCTTTTGCCTTTGGGACATGGGTCATTTAGGTGACTGGCAAGTGGCCATCTTGGCGGACAAGCCAGAGAAGATCCAGGAGGGCAGACCCTTGAGAGGCCTGCTTCGACACATTGAGGCTCCTGAAGGAGGTAAATCCATGACCGTCGACTTTTACAACAAGTAAGCAAAACCTTCTCTCTCATTCCCCCCCTCCATACCTCTCTAGGATTGATTGGCAGAGCCTGTGGCTTCTCACATGTCTGGGACATTTGATACTTCATGCAGACAGGGACAAGTTTAGAAAAGGACATCATTGCCGGTTTCCATCCATGAATGGATAGTGTGAGCTCTGTGGAGACCACACTGTCTGGAAGAGTATTCTAGAAGAATTCTCTTCCCTTGACACTAGCACAAAACTATGCAACTAACAGCCAAAGCCCTGGTGGCTCATGCCTGTAATCCCAGCTGCTCAGGAGGTGGAATCTGAGAGAGCGAGGTCTGAAACCAGCCCAGGCAGGAATATCCATTAGGAACTTAACACCACCAGCCTTGAGCAAAACACCTGCCCTGAGGATGAGCCCTCTTGTTCTGAGTTCAAGCCCCAAGACTTGCACAAAAATGACAAAGAATGATGATGAAAAGAATCAAAATGAGCATTTCCCCAGGTTGATGTCCTCCTTGGCTACTCGAAAGGTCTGGAAGTAGTTCCTGGGATTTGTGGATAGGAAATAAGGACTTGGTTGTTGTTCTGTTGTTGTTTTATTGTTATCTTACAGGCAAACTGGGGAGTGCCAAAAATACACTGTTGTGGGTGAGCTGAAGGAGGATGGGGTCTATGTAGGACAGTGTGAGTACAACGTGGCATAGACAGAAGACTGGATTCAAAGCAGGGGTGTGCACACGGTTGGGAGATTCATGGAGGTCACTTCAGGTGTTCCATCAATAGCTTTGAATTCTAGAAACATCCAAGAGTAGGAGATGATCTGAGATTAAAAAAATACGCTCAACTTCCAAGGTACTCGGTTCTTCCTAGAAAATTTTATTATTTTTATATTTTTATTTTATTTATTCTTTAAATATTTTTATCCATTCTATTTGATTATTTATTATTTTATTATTCCTTTTGAAAAATGACCTCTGAGTGGTTACACATGGGAGTCACTATTTATGAGAGCAGCAAATACATCGGATCTTGATAGGTGTCTCCACATTTGGGGGGATGTGGGGCCCGGGGGCGTGGATAGCTTTGGCGGTGGGACACAATTCCCCATCCTCTGGTCTTTTATCTTGTTTCATTTATTTACTTATTTTTTAAATCATACTGCATGTGTATTTTTTTTAACTATCTGAAAACTGTATAAACAGGCGATACAGATGTGATCAGCCCCAGCTCCTGACTCTTAAGTTATCAGCACATGTATTGATTCATTGTAATAGGTTTTTCTTCTCTTTGTGTGGTGGTGCAAATCAATTCCCTTTCAACAGAGTGAGAGGGGGAGGAGGTTGATGAATTAGCATTGTAAGGAAATGTCTATGAATTAAATTGGGGGGGAGGGAATGTGTCCAACAAATGCTTTAATCTAGTTGGTCAGGTGTGATTACATCTCATTGGAAAAAAGTGACTTGATGTCCATATGTTCAACATTGATCGAGACTCACTGTGTTCATAAAACTGCTTTGTTGACCCCTCTGTACAGTCATTTAAGGATAATTAAAATATACTTCATAAGAAAGTCTATTAGAGGGGCTGGGAAGGTGGCTCAGTGGTAGAGCGCTTGCCTTGCAAGCCTGAGCCCCGGGTTCGATTCCTCAGCACCATATAAGCAAAAAGAAAAAAAGCCAGAAGTGGCGCTGTGGCTCAAGTGGTAGAACGCTAGCCTTGAGCTGAAGGGCTGAGGGACAGCGCCCAGGCCCAGAGTTCAGGCCCCACAACCGGACCCTCCCCCCAAAAAAAGTCTATTAGAGGTCTGATAGACCAATGATCGAAGGAAAAGTGCTCTAATTTACTGAAATCTCTGATATAAAAGGCAGAATGTCAATAAAAGGAGAGCATACCTGCGCCTACTGAATTTTTATCAGTTTGACCTGTGACCCGTGGGAGCACAGATTCAGGTAGATTCAGCGGAGGATGGTGTTTTGGGGAGTATGGAGAATTCAGAAATTCATCTATGGGGCCTCTCTCCCCCCACAAAATCAAAGTATTTGAATTTCAAGGGAGTGCATGAGATGGATGGATTAGGCGCAAAGTTTTTTGGTTAATGCCCTCCAGCCTAATCCGGGAGGAGAGGAGAAAACAGTCTATTCCACATAGGACCAGGGGGACATGAACTGTGGTTAAGGAACTCAAGTGGACTCACCCTGGGTTCTTTCTCTTCCATCGTAGACTCTGGTATGAACACCTTTGAGGCTGTGAAGCAAAGCAAAGACATCATCATCTTCTACAACGTGAATGTGGACAAGGAAGGGCAGATCACACGCATGATCCTGGTGGCAGGTGGGTACAAGGGTGGGGGAGGATGTCTACCCACCTCAGGACGAGGAGGGGCTGGACTGGGATGGGGCAGAGTAGCCCATGGCTGATCACCTTAGCCCTGTACTGTTGAGTGGAGGAGGCAGGATGGTTTTCTGTACTCCGGAAATGTATCTTTGGAAAGACCTGTCTCTGTCACACATTTAGTCCATCCCATTCCCACAGCTCCCTGTGAAATAGCCTGGACCACTCATGCAGGGATAATTGGGCTGTCAGCTACGGACCCACATGGCAAATTCTCATTTAATTTGACTGAAGCAGACTTGGTCCTTTCCTGTGGGAAGTGGGCTCATTTCCGTGTGGAACTCGCCTACCATGTTCTCAACAGAGTGAACCGGAATGTGCATTTCCCAGCAGGTGCACACCAATGGAGCCTCTCAAATATGTTGTCAATCCCCATGATATCTTGAGCTCTGACCAAGCATTTCAGTTTTATATTGGGGTGTCCATTATACTCAAGGAGGACATCATATTGAGCATCTGGCTGGTTGAATTATAAAGATGTGATTTAAAGTTTTGATTGGTTTATTTTTTCAGCTGCAACAGGGCTAACATGGTTAAGTAAAGTTCAAATCGTTTGGTTCTCTCCTTTTGGGAGGCCAGGGCAACAACACAGAAAACATGGATGGTCATGTAGATGGGGGAAAAAGGAAACACTAGAGTATGGAGACCAGATAGAAATCTCAGCTGGACACGGGTTACCGAGGGGCTCATGCCTATCACCATAGTGACTCAGGAGGTTGAGATCTCAGGATCAAAGCCAGTCTGGGGCAGGAGTGACCATGAGTCTCTTTATCGCCAATGAGCCACCAAAAAAAAAAGCCAAAACTGGAGCTGTGGCTCAAGTGGTAAAAGAGCAGCCTTGAACAACAACAACAAAAAAAGCTCAGACCCCTAGATTAAGCCCTAGGACTAGAACCAGAACATAAATAAAAATCACATATAAAATAATAAATAAATAAACATTAATTAAATTAATAATATAAATAAAAATTAATTAAATTAAAAATAAAATAAAAACAACAACCAACAAAGAAAAACAACTCAGTTCCATTATCACTTGATCACTGAGGCAGTGTTGAGAACACAGATGATTGGCTGTCCAGATCCTTGCTTGAAGAGTCGTTGCAAAAATCTGAACAGTGGAGGGCTGGCTAAACAATTAACTTCCATCTACCTTGCCAATGTCACTGCTACAGGTGGGGGGGGGGGAGACCAATTTGCTCTTCCTGGTGCTGCTGGGGACAGGGAGGAATATTGGAGGCCAATGAATGGAGACAGCCCAGTGGGAAGCATCATCACCTAGGATACATTTTTCTTTCTGTCGTGGGGCTTGAACTCTGGGCCAGGGCACTGTCCCTCAGCTCTTCAGCTCAAGGCTAGTGCTCTACCACAGAACAACTTCTGACTTTTTCTGCTTATGTGGTGTACTGAGGAATCAAACCCAGGGCCTCATTCATGCAAGGCAAGCACTCTCTACCACTGAGCCACCTTCCCAGCCAGTGTAGGCTGCATTTTGATGCAAGCCCTTCCCTGACCTCCTTCCCATTGCTACCACAGGGAAAGGGCAGAGCTTGACAAAGCAGCAGGAGAAGAAGCTGGCCAAGTTGGCCAAGAAGAGGAACATCCCGATTTCCAGTATCCAACACATCCTGGAAACTGGTAAGGCCCAGATCCTGGTTTTCCCATGGCCTAACTGCGCCGCCCCCTCCCCCAAAAAAGAAATCATGCCATGAGATCACTCTAGAAGCTTCTAGCTTAGCATCATCTGGAGGCACAATTGCATGTTACTTGAGAGTTAGTGATAAACTTGGTGATGTCTGACATCCTTCCCTGATCCTGTGTTTTTTCTTTTCTTCCTTGTTCTTTGTCACAGATGATTGTCCTGAGTAAGGACACTGGCCCTGGGTAAGTTGACACGGACACCTGTGGCCCTCCACCCTCCCAACTGGGAGGTATTTTTTCCTTGGATGGTTTGGTTCGATATGGAAGAGATATGGTTCAGTTCAAAGGGAAGGCTTTAGACCCTGAGACCCTTGGGCAATGGTCTCCTTCTAGGACTGCTTGTGTTTTCCATGTGCAGTCTGCACTATGAAGCCATTCACAGGGTCTCAGGTGCATTTGATCCTCCTCTGCTCCCTCCCAACAGGTGGTAGCATCTTCAGGAACACCTGCAAATCCATCTTCCTCGTTCAAATGGAATCAGCTCTAGGATGAAAAGCCATCCTGAACTTTCAACCTTCTTTCCCCTTTCCTGCGAAGCCATCATGCTGATGCACAGTTTTGTGTCTTCTTCTCCCCTTTCTCCTGAAATTTGCGTTATCATGACTTAAGTGATCCAGTAAACCAATTCCCAAGCATCCAATTCTGACTGTAAAGACTCGAATCAATGTCTCCTGGCCCAGAATTAGCCACCCCAATTGAGAGATGGAAAACTAAGTCTATACGGGAACAGAAGATTCTTTGTCTTAAAAAAAATTCAGAATAAGCCAGGTGCCGGTGGCTCATGCCTGTCATCTCAGCTAACACAGGAAGCTGAGATCTGGAGGATCCCAGTTCAAAGCCAGCCTGGGCAGGAAAAGTCTGTGAGACTCTTATCTCCAATGAACCACTAGAAAACCAGAAGTGGCACCATTCAAAGTGGTAGAGAGCTAGCCTTGAGCTGAAGAGCTCAGGGACAGCACCCATGCCTAGATTTCCAGCCCCATGACTGACAAAAAAATTCAGAATACAACCAGACTCCTGCCACTAATCCTAGCAACTTAGTATAGAAGGGTTTGAACTCAGCCCCAGGAGACTGTGATCTCCTATTAGTCACCCAAAACCCAGGAGTGGTGCTGTGGTTTACACGGTAAAGTGGTTCTAGCCTTCAACACAGAGCCTTCGGGCGAATTCCCAGGCCCTGAGTGCAAGCTCAGGACTGGAAAAACCCACACAAAAAAAAACAAGGACAGAGTCCTTGAGTGTTTCAGCATTAGGACAAAAAAAGGTAACCTTCAAAACTATAAGGATACCTTCATTTCTGTAGATTCCACATGAAATGTGAGGCCAGGGCTCTTTTTAAATTTTATTTTTAAATTTTCCTGTAACCACCATAAGATTTCCAGACCCATCAGATCCTACAGAAGTGGAGTATTGGGTGTATGACTTACTTGGTTTAACAGTTTTGGTGAACTCATTCTCCAGCCCAGGGTGGGACTGGAATAGGAATTATTTCATATTAAAACACTCACACTCCTTATGCATATTTACTGAACTATGTCCTATTAATTGTGGGTTGAGAGATGTTTAGAGGTAAACAGATGAAGTCTCCCCACTGTGGAGTTGTATGTTGAAGGCTCCTGGTGTTCCTAAGGCCTTTTTTATATCATTCAAGAGGCTCCAGCCTCTATATCCCTGGACTTACCCATGTCCATCCCTCCTATAGCCACCACCAGTAGGGGAGAATATTTTTGCTTTTTGTCAGTCATGGGGCTTGAACTCTGGGCCTGGGCACTATGCCTGAGCTCTTCAGCTCAAGGCTAGAGCTCTAACCACATATATGTCACCATTTCTGGTTTTCTGGTGGTTTCACTGGAGATCAGAGCCTCATGGACATTCCTGCCTGGGCTGGCTTTGAACCTGTGATCCTCCAGATCTCAGCCTCCTGAGTAGCTAGGATGACAGGCGTGAGCCACTGGTGCCTGGCTGGCATTCTTTATCCTTGACACAGGACAGGGCTCAGTTCTGCTGAAAGGAAACCACCACATGGTTCAGACAGAAGAGAGTTTATTAGGGGGCAATCCAACCACTAGCCTGCACCAGATGTAAGCCATGCAGACAGGTGGAGCTAATGGAGGAGACAGACTATATCTGGGAAAGAGGAAGAGGAGGTGTGGCCACAACCAGATGTGGAAGAGACATAAGAAAGGAAGTAACCTCAGAGGAAGTGGAAGTAAGCCTAGAACCTGGAAATCCTTTGCTGGTTCAGTCAGGTGACTGATAGCTACTGGTGATTACTGGGCAGATGAATTCTGGTGAGCCTCCATTCTGTATGAAGACAAGTAGGGGACTAGGGAGGTTCTGTGGGCAGAACCAACAGCACCTTTATTTTGCCTTCCTGTATCACAACTTGTGACTAAAGCTACATTCTTGGGAAATGTGGGGTACGCCATCAGTCACGGTCTTCAAGATTATATTCTTTTCTAATCTTGAAACACTCAAGGACTCTATAGTTGTCTCTGTGTTTTCAGGTCCTGAGCTGGTACCCAGGGCCTGCGCATCCTCCCTCAGGTTCTGTGTTCAAGGCTAGCACTCTACTTACTTCTGAGTTTTGGGATGATTCATTGGAGATGAGACTTTCATGGACTTTCTTGCCCTCTGGCCGACTTCAAACCATGATATTTAGATCTTAGCCTTCTGCGTAGCTAGGACCAGAAGCATGAGTGAGCCTGGAGTTATTCTTAATAATAACAGTAACAATAAGAACAATAACTATAGTTCTCTTATAGACTTAGTTTTCCATGATTCAATTGGAGTGGTTAATTCTGAGCCAGGGGACATTAATCTGAGTATTCACAGTCAGAATTGGATTCTGTGGAACTGGTTTATTGGATCACTGAGTTAAGTCACAATAGCACAAATTTCAGAAGAAAAGGAAGAAGACAATGAAAAACCTTGAATCCAGATGACAACTTCCCAGGAAAGAGGAAAAGATGTGTCAAAGTTCAGGATGGATTGTTGTCTTAGAGCTGATTACATTTGAATGAGGAAGATGGATGTGCATGCATTCCTGAAGATGCTACCACCTGTTGGGAGGGAGCAGAGGGCAATCGAATGCACCTGAGACCCTGTGAATGGCTTCATAGTGCAGATTGCACATGGAAAACACAAGCACCTACAGAAGGAGAATGTGAGGCCTGGATGGCTAATGGGCAAATTTATTTCTTTCAGGACCAAATCTGTGCCTGGGGCCTGGTCTTCCTAGGACAAGGAGATGGTTTCCTCAAACTTCTATCCAAGATGCATTTTTGGTTGTAATGGCTGATATCTAGTTTGTACTGGAAATTCTGTGTGTATCTTCCATGTCCAAATGATTTCTGAGGATCTGCCCTATGGCTAAGAGAGTGTGTCAATATGATATCCTCCACTCACTCTGAGAGTCCCCAGAAGCTCATCATCTTCCATGCTTCAGATCACACATGATTGACTGTGTTCTTCTCGCAATTATGTGGAGGCCAAAGTCATCAGGGAAGATTTCTGTGATAAAGGTTATTTTTTTCTTTCATGCAATTGTTTCTAACATATTTATAAGATGATTTCTATGTTGCTTTGTATGTCCCTCCCCCATGGTATAAACCCTGCTTTCACTTGATGTTGGTATAATTTGTGGAGGGGAAGAGCAAAAACAAATCATTTAACTAGGGATACAGGTGGACCCATTGCAACAATGAGATGTACAAGTCCTTATGTTGAAAAACGAACTTTACAACTTTGGTGTGGGGGGGTAAAGGACAGGGTGGGGGGAGGTGGGGAGAGAATGGGAAAAGATGGGAAGGGGAAACAAAGAGGAGGCAACAATGCTTGATAAGAAATATACTTGTTATCTTGCCCATGTAATTGTAACTCCTCTGTAAGGTATTCTCACAATAAAAAACAAAACAAAAACATAGACTAAGCCAGGCACTGGGTAGCTCAGGCCTGTCATCCTAGCTACTCTGGAGGCTGAGATCTGAGGATCACAGGTTCAAAGCCAGCCCAGGAAGGAAAGTCTATGAGACTCTTATCTCCAGTGAACCACCAGAAAACCAAAAGTGGTGCCGTGGCTCAAGTGGTAGAGCACCAACCTTGAGTTGACAGTGCCAAGCCCAGAGTTCAAACCCCATGACCACTACCACCAACAACAACAACAAAAATCAAAACAGAGACTATGGCAGTCTCCTTCAAGAGAGACTCTGTTAACCATGGAATTCCACTTAGCCAAAGAAAAATATAGCAGAATTAGAGAACCAAATGGGTTGAGGGCCAGGTTTGTGTCTACTCACTCCAGGGAAGCTCAGTACTCCGTAGGATACACATCTGTGAAAAAATGCAAGGAAGAAAAAAAACACAAGATCAAGGGAGATGTTCAGTATGACCAAGTTTATGCACACTCGAGTACAGTGCAACTGTAGGCGAAGAACATACTGAATCAGGATCTTAGTGATTTCATCTCATGCTTTTTTTTGGCATTCTATAGTAAATAGCCCTGGGCCTCACCTGGAAGTGTGATAATTTGGATGCTGGAAAATAGGATGTTGTTCTCCTTGGAGAGCTCCTCCGCCTTCTTTAACTACCCTGGTCTCAGGGCCTCTAATCTCCCTGCATGACATAGAGAGGAAGTGAGGAAATTAGAAAGGATTGTGGCCTATATTTGCGTGTGTCCCCTGAGCCACATTGGGCTGTCCCTTCACCCACGGCCTGTCCCCAGCAGGCCCCCCGAGGACCAAGCTGGGTTCCCTATGGGGTGGTGTGGTGACATTGATGGAAGTGAACATTTTGGGGGTACACACCCTTTTAGGGTCCTTACGATCGCTCCTCCAGCTGTGAGCTGACCATCTGATCATTTGCATTGTCAGTACTATACCAATGACCAAGCTATGATGGAAGTGAGGTGTGTGTGTGTGTGTGTGTGTGTGTGTGTGTGTGTGTGTGTGTGTGTGTGTGGTGCCATTGCTGAACTGGGTACCCTCCCTGAGCTTTTTCCTTTGTGTTCAAGGTGAGCATTCTACCCACTTGAGCTGCACAGCTCCATTTTTGGCTTTTTGGTGATTCACTGGAGATCAGAGACTCATGCCTTTTCCTGCTCTGAGCTGGCTTGGAACCATAATCCTCATATCTCAGCCTCCTGAGTATCTGGGATGGCAGGCATGAGCCACAGGTGTCCACCTGAGAGTTCTTATTTCCTCCATGCTCTATGTGCATTTCTGTGTTTTTGAGCCTCCCTCAAATGAAAGGATGAAATGATGTGAACTTTTCCTTAACCACATTATCCCAGTTACTTTTGAGAAAAACCCACATCAAAAATCTAAATCCCATCTTTGCAAATCGTCCAACCAAGGCTCAATATTCTACCACCCCCCTGAGTATGACAGACACTCCATTATAAAATCCAGGAGGTTGGAGCTAGGTGTTCAGTCAGAGCTCATGTTATTTTCATGTTGGAGAACTTTACATTTGAGAGGCTCAATTCCCACCAATCTGTGAAGAAATTTAGATTTATTTTCATGTCTTGAGAACGTGGTGGAAGAGTTCAACATGAAAATGAGCTCACTCCATCATTGTGGAAAGAAGTGAGTCTGCATAAATCAAATTTAATAAGAATTTCCAATGTGGGTTCCTAGCTGACAGCTGCAGTATCACTGTGTGAGTGGCACAGGCCACTGCCTAGGGAGCTGTAGCAATGGGTGGACTAAAATAGAGTGCCACAGAGCCGGGTGTCTTGAAAAAGACCCACAGAGGAGGTGTTTCTGGTCTACAGAAACCTGATTCTGCGCCCATTGTGCACCCTGATGCCTCCTGCATGCACAGAGCACTGGAAAGTGAGGCATTGGCTGCTCTTCTCCATCCCCAGCTCAGCCCCTGATTCACCTGCCACCAGCATCATGACTGTGATATTTCCTTCCTCGTCCACGTTCTTGTTTTAGAAGACGATGACATTTTCCATTTGCAGCAGAACTTGGTAATAGTCCAAAGTCTGCCATGGAAGAAGTAATTGTGGTCAGTGCACTAGAGTTCCACCATCTCATTTCATAGTCCCCTGCTCCAGGTGTAATGAACCATTCTTCTCTCCTTCTGGATGAACCCTGGGTTAAGGAACCTGGTTCCTAATCAATCCCATGAACTTTCTTGCAGTTCAAACGCTTGGAGTTTGAGTGGAGAATTCCACCCTGCTCCAAAAAGAGCACAGAAAACCAATTCCTGAATTCTCCTCCATCCCCAAACCATCATAGAAAAGTATTTCCACAAATCTACATATCCATATGTTCTAGGTCTAAATGAGTGCATGTCAATATGTGAACATTTGCTCTTCTATTGACATTTTGTCTTCTATAGCTGAGGTTTCAGAAAATTAGACCAGTTTTCCTTGAAAGTTGAACTGTCGAGTACAAATGTGCTCTTTAAAAAGCATACATTTTTATTATCTTTTTTTCTTTTCTACCCCCCCCCCCCCAATATAGCCCCTGTTTTCACTGTATATGATTCTGGTGTCCTGCATCTTGTATATACATTTTTGTAATTAGGGTAGGGGAAGGGATATAACTAAACGCTTAAATAAGGGTACAGGTTGACCCATTGTAACAATGAGGTATACAAGACACTATGCTGAAAACGAACTTTATTATCTTTTTTGGGGGGAGGGGGGCTCCAGTCGTGGGGCCTGAACTCTGGGCCTGGGTGCTGTTCCTCAGCTCTTCAGCTCAAGGCTAGTGCTCTACCATTTGAGCCATAGCACCACTTCCAGCTTTTTTTTTTTTCTGTTTGTGTGGTGCTGAAGGATCGAACCCAGGGCCTCATGCATGCAAGGCAAGCGCTCTACCACTGAGCCACCTTCCCAGCCCAACTTTATTGTCTTTAAAAAATGTATTTCTCTTATTTTTAAATGTATTTTTATCTTTTTAAAAAACATATCTTATGATCTTTAAAAATATTTTTACCATCTTTTAATATATATTATCTTTTAAAAATATTTAAACTTATCTTTTATCTTTATATTTTATTACCTTTAAATGTATCTTCAATTATCTTTTCTACATTGAAAATTTTTAATTTATTGTTACTGTAGAGTTGATATACAGAGGCATAACCATTTCATACATCACATAATCAGAACTATATTTCTTTTTCTTTTAATTTTTAAGTATATTGTGTTATCTTTAAGTGGTTTGACAGAGGAGTGGCCATTCAATAAAGCAATTTGTGAATATAGTACAACTGGATCCACATGGAAAATATATGCTCTTTTTTGACAGTCCTGGGGCTTGAACTCAGGGCCTGGGCACTGTCCCTGAGCTTCTTTAGCTCAAGGCTAGCACACTACCACTTGAGCCACGGTGCCACTTCTGTTTTTTTCTGTGTATATAGTATACTGAGGAATCAAACCCAGGGCTTTGCCGCGGACCGGGTTCTGTCGGGACGACGAAGGACACCTAAGGGAGGAACCTGGAATAGGATGGGGAGATGGCAAACAGACAACTCACACACATTAGGAGTGGATGCTGAGTGCTGAGTGCAATTTAATGCAGAGGATAACAAACTTTTATAGCAAAAGTCTCCATAAGAAAGGGCAAAAGGTTACACAACCTTGCTGTAGGGCTTCTTTCTTGGGTGGTCACCAGCTGGTCGCCTGATAGGCACTTGTTTCCGGCTTATCTCTAAGAAATATAATGGGTTTCAATGTTTTGTCATCAACTAACCATTACCTTATTTCTATAGAGGCCTTAACTGTCCCATAAGATCTTTCCTGTTCTTTCTTCAATAGTAAGGTCACCGAGGCCTAGATCTAGCAAGTCTCTTAGTAAATGAAAGAGAGTAACAGGAAGTTCTTTCTCCTAAGTAGTTATCTCAGCAATTGCCATACATTCCTTTTGTTCTAGCCGCGCCTACAGCTTCTTGTAAATCTCTTACAAACAATTCCTTCTGCTGAAGTGACTTTGTGAAACCCCCAATACTTTTATATTTGCTTATGACTTGTCTACTAGCCTCCATAAGAGGGGTTTCAGGGTAGCACTTAACTCTGGTGAGTTAGTCATATTTTTAAGACACTCATCAGATATTGGAGTCGTCAACACTCTTAAGAAAGAACTTTGAATAAGGGAACGTTGACAATGAGCAAGTACAAAGAGCAGTAGAAACAGTAAAAGATTAATAGGCACTCTTATGAGGAAAAGAAAGGCAGAAACACATCTTTCCCAGGGGCTTGCCAGCCTTTTTCCAGGAGTAGGCCTCTTAGAAGCCCTATTCTCCAAGGTAGACTTGGGTGAAGTCCCAAAACTTGGAGATAGGTTTCTGTAAAGCCCCATTCTCTGAGGTAGACTTTGGTGAAGTCCCAGAACTCAGAGATAGGTCTCTGAAGCCCCTATCTTGGTCTGATAGATGGTTTCCCATGCTAAGCAGACTCCACTGGAGTCAGTGTGGCAGGGCTTCATGCATGCTAGGTGGGTATTCTACCACTGACCCACATTCCCTGCCTGAAAATATATGCTTTTAATTATTTTTTTTCCCAATGATTCCAAAGCACAATAACACCTGACATCCTAGATTTAGCATGTTGCACAGATTTTATTTTCCAATTCAATCCATATAAATTGCTTTTGGATGTATATAAAATACTTACATTCATAAGCCACTTTTGTGGAATGGTAACTATTTTGTACAACCACTGAATGTTCATAAAATGTTATTTTAAAAAAATTCAAGTATTCCCCAGAAGAATTGGGATTACAGATCGACCAGACTCGCATCTGTCTGTCCTGTTCAGACAATGTTAGAGTAAATTATTAAAACAAGTATTTCACCATGATTATAAATTAGTTAATTAATTAATCCAAGATCAAGTTTGCATGCTGGGAACTGCTTCTAACCACTAAAGCCATTCCCACCCCACACCCCAATGAAGTGACATTGATCAAGAAAGATCTTTTGTATTGGTCAACTGCTTGGATAAATCCCAACTCTTGTGTGTCACCAACCACTGAGAGATCATTTTTTAATGCAACAATAAAAATAAAATACACTGAAGACATTTTTTTTAAATGTGTAATTTCTGAATTTCCTAGGAAGAAGCAAGTACCTAGACAGTGGAGGTGAATAACCTACTTCACCACTGTCCTGACTTGTGGATGTTTCTAGATTTCAAAGCCATGTTTTGCAAGATCTGAAGACTCTCCCCCACTGAGTACATGGCCTGTGTTTTGACTCATGCCCTCTTTGCACACCACAGTGTACTTACAGTTAGCTACAAAGACTCCATTCTCATTCTTCATGCCCACAACAGTATTTTTGCCACTCTCCCTTTTGCCTGAAAATCAGTAACACAAAGCAACCGGGAAGTCCTTATTTTCAATCAATATGTACCAGTAACTTTCTCCAATCTGGCTGAGTGGCAGAGGACATCAACACAGGAGATGCTTTTTTAAAACCTCATGCTCCCATTCTTGTAATTCTTATTCTGCTAATTCTATTATTATTATTATTATTATGTGCATGTCCTGGAGCTTGAACTCAGGGCCTTGGCACTGTCCCTGAGCTTCTTTTTGCTCAAGGCTGGTGCTCTTTGAGCCACAGCCCCGCTTCTGGTCTTTTCTGTCTATGTGGTACTGAGGAACCGAACCCAGGGCCTCATACATGCTAGATGAGCACTCTACCCCTGAGCAACCCTCCCAGTCTATTATTACTATTTTTGTGCAGGTCCTGGGACTTGAACTCAGAACCAGAGTGCTGTTTCTTAAGCTTTGTTTATGTGTTCAAGGCTCACGCTCTACCAATTTGAGCCAAAGCTCCACTTCCTGTTTTGTTTTGTTTTAGGGGTTAATTGTAGGTAAGAGTCTCATAGATCTTTCCTGCCCTGGGCTGGCTTTGAACCACACAATCCTCCAGATCTCAGCTTCCCGAGTAGCTGTGATGACCGACATGAGCCACCAGGACCTGGTTGTGGGTTGAATATGTTTATGTTCATGTCAAGACAAGAGGATTCATCCAGAGGGCTTTCCATAGAAGCTGTTTGTCAATCTAAGTAAAATTCATTTGCCACACAATGGAGCTAGTGAAGGATCGAACTAGATGCTGGCATTAATAACACCATAGGCACACAGTGTCCCCATGGATGGAGGGTCTGTGGTCATGGTCCACTCCATGATGAGCTGTGTATTCAGTAGAGAAATGAACACAGGAGGGTTTGTGTAGAGTTTCTGGCTCTGTGATCTCAAGATAGCCAGTAATCATCAGTCGATTAATGGAAACCATTCATCATTTTCTTTTCTAAACATTTAGATGGTTGCTTCAAGACCAAAGGCCCCATGATTATGAGGAGCCCATGGTTCTGTGTTATCTCGAGGGTCAGAGGTATGGGAGGGAGTTTTTCTTACATGACATTAAAGGTATCAGTTAGGACTTGACCATCCTCACTAGCCATGAGGTGTCACATGAGGAATCTCAGGGGTCCTCCTTCCTGGATCTTCGCCAGGTTGTCTGTGAGAAGGACCAGGGTGTGCCACTCCTCATCCACCTAGAGGACAAATGTGCCATTGCACACCTCAGCGCCTTTCTTGTCCTTCACATGAAAACCATTGCATCTTCAGAGTTAGTAGGAAGGAAATGCAGTGCTGACACGACCCATGATGCAGTTGCCTTTAGCTTTTGCACTAAAGAGGAAATCATCAGGACCTGACAGGGAGTTCAAAGGTGCAAAGGGCATTTTCCTGATTATCAAGGCACATGAATCTACATATTATTAAAAATAAACACACACACACACACACATACACACAAGTAATGCAAGAGGAACATGCCAGCAAAGCCTGTTCATGGTACCTCAGCCCGCCGCTACACCTCAGGGCCAGCACAGACCACGCTGAACAGCAGGACGATGAACACAGCCTTCATCCTGCATGTGCTGCTGCCGCTTCTCCCTGTACTGCAGATGCTCGGAGTAAAGACAGCTGTGGTGAAGGGGATCCAAGTGGGCCCTTTCTTGGATGTGATGTCTCTGTGGGCCTGGTGCATAATGAAGCCACTGTTGCAGATCTGAAGGCCTTTTGTCACCTGAGTGTCCTCAGACATCCTGGGTTGTGGGTGATGGGCGGTGTCTGACATCTTGTACCTTTGATGAGGGGATTAGTTGTTCAGGGGACATAAGGTGGAGCTGAGTGACCTTCCTGCTGGCCTTGCAAGCACAAAGGTGGAATCCTGGACCAAAGCCTGCAGTGGCTCTGTCCCTTCCATCCCCACTCACTCCAGGAGGAGATGGTGCCAAATCCATATTTCCAGAATTCCACCTCAGTGGGGGCCGTGTGGCCTCTTATTCTGCAATCAAAGATGGTGGCCTGTGGCTGAGCTTAATGACAAGGTGACCCACATGGAGAACAAATCACTTCTGTCAGATGCATTTCTGTTTAAGGAATTATTATTTAAAAAGAAACAAAATCACTTCTTACCTGATATTTATATGCTATATATATATACTATATTTACTACATAAATATATATATACATATACGCATATTTAGAAAATCTTATCTAATATATATATATGCACACACACATACATATATATGTATATATTTCAATTTATTCAAATGCTCATTCTCTCCGGCAATCCAATGTGCATCTGTAGGTCATTTCACAGGAGAAATGACACCAGAATTCCAAATAGAAAACAAAACAAAATACATGAAAGAAAACAATGTGTTGTTGGTAGTTTTGCTTTGGGGGAGGGGTTAGAGGTATTCGTGTTTTTGTTTTATTTTGTGTGGTTTGTTTTGTTTTCTATTTGGAGTTCTGGTGTCATTTCTCCTGTGAAATGACACAGAATGGATTGCCAGAGAGAATGAGGATGTCAATGAATATATACATGTATATATGTGAATATATATGTAAATACATATATGAATGTATACATACACACACACATATATATATTAGACTTACTAGATATGCATATATATATGTGTATATATTTATAATCTAGTAAATATAAAGTATATTTATGATAGATAGATAGATAGCTCACTAGGTGTAGCCACAGGCCACCATTTTTGATTACAGAATAAGAGGCCACACAGACACCCCACTGAAGTGGAACTCTGGAAATATGGATTTGGAGTCCATCTCCTGCAGTGAGTGGGGATGTAAGGGCCAGAGCCACTCAGACTTTGGCCCAGGATTCCACCATTGTGCTTCCAAGGCTGGCAGGAAGGTCACTCAGCTCAACCTTATTTCCCATTCGCTCTAATCCCCTCATTAAAGAGAAAAGAGGTCAGACATGGCCCAGGAACATGTGAGGACACTCAGGAGACAAAAGGCCTTGTGACATATCACAGTGGGTTCATTATGCATCATGACCATGGAGACATCACATAAAAGGAAGGATCCATTCAGATCCTCTGCACAACAGCTTTCCTTGCTCTGAGGATCTGCAGCACAGGGAGAAGCAGCAGAACACACAGGATGAAGGCTCTGCTCATCGACCTGCTGTTTGGTGTGACCTGTGCTGACCCCGAGGTTTCTTTGGCATGTTTCTTTCACCTGGCTTGTTCCTTTCACCTGGTGTGTGTGTGTGTGTGTGTGTGTGTGTGTGTGTGTGTGTGTGTGTGTGTGTGTGTGTGCCAGGTATGTGGGTATATGTGCTTTGTTATTTTTTTTTTTTGCCAGTCCTGGAGCTTGGACTCAGGGCCTGGGCACAATCCCTGAGCTTCTTCTGCACAAGGCTGGCACTCTACCACTTGAGCTATTGTATCATCTCTAGATTTTTCTGTGTATGTGCTACTGAGGAATCGAACCCTGGGCTTCATGCATGCTAGGCAAGCACTCTACCACTCTAGCCACATTCCCAGCCCGTGTTTCTCTATTTTTAATAGCAGGTGGATATATGTATCGCTCTAATGAGGAAAATGCCTTTCCATCTTTCAACTCTCTGTCATGTATGGAAGATTGCCTATGCAGTCCAAAACCTGAGGCAACTACATAAGAACTTAAGTGGGGTAGTATATCAGCACTGCATTGAATCCCTACTACCTCTCTACATTCATTGGTTCTTTAATATTTTTTGTTAGTCCTGGGTCTTGAAAACTGGGCCTGTGCTCTGTCCCTCAGCTCTTCAGCTCAAGACAAGCATTCTACCACTTGAGCCACATATATGGAACCACTTCCAGTTTTCTGGTGGTTCATTGGAGATAAGAGTCTCATGGACGTTCCTGCCTTAGGCTGGCTTTGAACCACAATCCTCAGATCTCAGTCTGATGAGTAGCTGGGATGACAGGCGTGAGTTACCAGTGCCTGGCTGTGCAATGGTTTTCATGTGTCTCTGAGCCATGGTGTCACCATATGGGACTCTACAAGAGAAGCGAGGCCTGGCCTCCTCTCCTCCACCCAGTCAGGGTTGAGTCTGTGCTGGGCTCCATGGGGAACAGCAGTGAGGATGAGAACTGGGGACAGAAGAGAAGGGAAAGGCATTGAGATGTACAATGGCACATTAGTCCTCTAGATTGATAAGGAGTGGTACACCCTGGTCATTGGTGCAAACAACCTCATGAAGATCCAGAAAGGAGAACCCTTGAGATTCCTTTTTGAAGCCTCAAGTCTAGTGAAGATGGTCAGTTCATAACCATCATCTTTGATATCCAGTAAGCAAAACTCCCCCCTACCTTGAGATGAAAACACAGAACCATGGGCTTCTCAGAGACACAGGGCCCTTGATCTTGAGGGTACCATTTAAACTTTTAGGAAAGAAAATAATGGTTTCCATTGATAAATTGATATCATTACGTCTCTTAAGACCCCAATGCCAGAAATAGCAGATGAACCATCCTGTGTTCATTCCTTAACTGAGTAGCTCACAATGTACCATAACCACAGACATTCAATCTATATGGACACTGTGTGCTTATGGCCTTATTAATGCCAGTGTCTAGTTCGATCCTTCATGAGCTCTATGTGTGTGATGAAGTTAGACTGGCACACAGCTTCCATGGAAAGCCAGGCACTGGTGGCTCACGTTGTCATCCTAGCTTCTCAGGAAGCTGAGAGTTGAAGGAACATGGTTCAAAGCCAGCCTGGGCAGGCAAATCCATGAGACTCTTACCTCCCATTAACCACCAGAAAACCAGAAGTAGAGCTGTGGCTCAAAATGATAGAGCACTCACCTTGAGCAAAAGAGCTTAGAAACAGCGCCCAGGTAACCTGTATGGCAAAAAGAGGATTGACTGTCTACACTCCACAAATGCCTTACTGTCCATCAGCACAGTATTTGTGGAGGGACCAGGGCCCTGAGCAGAAGAACCGAACACTAATGCAAGGGAGACATGGTTTAATAAAAGTGAATGAAGTCAGGGGTCTGTGGTTCGTGCCTGAGATGAGATGATCACGGTTCAAAGCCAGCCTAGGGCAGGAACATCCCTGAGATTCTTAAGTCCAATGAATCACAAAAAACACAGAAGTAAGGCTGTGGTCTACTGGTAGACCAACACAGGTGTGGGGCAGGGGTCTGGGTCAAGTGGTGCTCTATTTTAAGTGGTAGAGCACTAGCCTGGAGCACAAAGAGACTCAAGGGTGGAGTCCAAGCCCTGAATCCAAGGTCTAGGACTGTCCAAAAAAAACTGGGACGTAGGGATGGAGCAGAGGTGTTGATCATGAGAATGTTGGCTTGATTCTGAACAAGTCAATAGGACAAACACTGCTTCTATGTGGAGTTCATGGGATTTTATATGAAAAATCTAGCAATCAATATCAATCTAACTTCAGAATTATGAAAATTCTCTCTCTCTCATCCATGCATATTTCATCCAGCTCTGTGTTTATCTCAATATGTTTTATAGACAGATACATAGATAGATAGTGAAAGACCCCAGACTCACTGGGATGCTTTCTTCAACGGGAGGGCACCCCAAGAACCAAGACTCCAAACCAGCAGATGCAACAAGCAAGAGGAGTTTATTAGGCATTTGCGCAAACGGGCTCCCTGTCCAAGGCAGACTGGAAGCCCCGAGCAGCGGTTACAGGCACTTTTAAAGACAAAAACCACAGGATTAGCATAAGACCCCAGGCTCCCCAGGATTGGCTCAGGTTAAAAATTACCATATACTCCAGCAATCATTTTGTTGTGTGGGAAGTCTTGTAACACTTGTTGAAAACTGGTTGGCTCTCTAGGGGGAGGCTTCCCTGGGGAGGAGTCCACATAGTTACAGGCTCGTGATTGGTTGACATTTGACCTAGTTTGCTGGGCTCGCCAGATGGTCCTTGTCTTGAGTCCCTTGCTGAGAGTTTCTAAACAGGAATTTAGAAGAACATACTCTTTTGTTCTTTATCTATGTTTGCAGACCTTGTCCCTGGGCCGGCCTGCATCTGGACTTTGTAACTTTTTAACTTATTTCTGGGAGGGGAAGAGTCAGTGTTAGCGCAAGCAGGTTTACAGAAGCAGAATTAGCAGTTAGCATATTGTAAAATGAACATAGCCCCAATTTCAATCTTTCAGATAGATAATGACAAGAGCATATATATTCCAAATATACAAATAAATATTGAATGAATATATCATGCATAGTGTGTGAATTAAAGTACATATGAGTAGCATAAGATTTTGAGGACTGTCTTCTGTAATGAATTTAAGAATGCAAGTGTAATTAGGCACACTGGAATTCAGAAGGGTTCATGTTTACAAAAGTGTATTTTTTC